CTGGTGCTCGATGCCTCTGATTGGTGGCAATCCACTTGGCATCTCCTCAGGAAACACATCGTCGAACTCCTACAATAAAGACTTAACCAAACTAGGGAGGGATGTGTTAGAATCCTCAAAATTGAGGAGAGAATCCTTGTACACTAACAATATCATTTGCCTATTATCGCTCATAGCCTTTTTCAACTCACCCTCTTTTGCATAGAAGTTGACCTTTGGCTTTTCTCTTCGCTCAGCTGACTCTTTTTTTCTCCTCTCAACTGACTCCTTTTCTCTCCGCTCATGTGGCTTCTCTCTCTTTTCTCCATTCTCAGCCACTTCACTATTTTCTCTCTTATTGATGGTTTCACTATTGCCTCTCCTTTTTCCCGACTCTCTTATTCTCTCGTCTTCCTCACTTTGCAGCTTGATCTGATCTCCATACACTTGTACCAGTGTTAATGGCGCTAGAGTAATAGTCTTCCCATCCTTGACAAAGCTATAACGATTCCTATATCCATCATGTGTGACCTTTCTATCATATTGACATGGTCTTCCTAATAAGATATGACCCACATGCATAGGCACCACATCACATACTACTTTGTCACTATAACTCCCAATTGAGAAATTAATTAAAACTCTTCTATTCATCCTAACTTCCCCACTTTCATTCAACCATTGCAACTTATAAGGCCTAGGGTGTCTTAACAATGCTAGTCCTAATTTCTCAACTAAAGTTGTGCTAGCTATATTTGTGCAACTCCCACTATCAATAATCATACTAGATACCTTATCGTTGACGTAACAACGTGTGTGGAATATATTTTCTCGCTGCTACTCCGAATCATCTACTTTGACTTGAGTGTTAAGAGCTCTCCTTAACACCAAAGATTCCCCAACAGCAAACTCCAATTTTTCTTCTTCTTCAATGTCCTCCAATGCAGGCAAGTCCTCAAACTCTCCTTCACTTTCACTCACCACCTCTCTATTATCCAACAACACCATTACCCGTTTATTTGGGCATTGAGAAGCAATGTGCCCTGACCCCAAGCATCTGAAACACTTGATGTCTCGATTTCTTGATGGTTGTGAATCTGTTTTGGGTGCTGTTTTGCTAGCACCTTCTTCTTTCCCTTTCTGCCACTCATTCATTCCTTTAGGTACAGCTTTATCACCTTTGTTGTTGTTGTTCCACCTTGGATTCCAAGATGGATTAACACTCGAAGTTCCTAGCGGCTGCTTAGCTGCCCCTTTCCTCTTCAGTTGTCTCTCTACCTTCATAGCCACATGCAACATGTCTTCCAACTCCACATAATGTTGCAACTCCACTACATTGGCAATTTCCCTATTCAACCCATTCAAGAATCGTGCCATGGTAGCCTCCCAATCCTCCACCACATTGGCCCTAATCATGAGTATTTCCATCTCCTTATGATAGTCCTCTAGACTTTTTGACCCTTGATATAGGCCTTGCAATTTTTGATGAATCTCTCGATAATAGTGGCTAGGAACAGGCCTTTTTTCTCATCAATGACTTCAATTCCTCCCAAGTGCTGATTGGTCTTTCCCCACTCCTACGTTATGAAGTAATCACTTGATCCCACCATGAAATTACATAGTCACTGAACTCCAAAACTGCTAACTTCACCTTTTTCTCCTCCGAGTAGTTATAACACTCGAAGATCATTTCAACCTTCCTTTCCCACTCCAGGTATGCCTCGGGATCACTCCTTCCTTTGAATGAAGGAACTGTCATTTTTATATTTCCCAAGTTTCCATCCAACTCTTCCCCGCGATCATTCCGACCCCGTCTGTCAAACCTATCACCTCTATTCCTCATCCTTCCCATCTCAATACCATGAAATTCATCTTAACACATGTCACTCCCATATTCGTACTCCTCTCGTCTTTCCCTCCTAGGCTTCCATCTATCCGGTCCTCTGGCATTGGATACATTCACTCGATACCCCCGACTAAGATTAGCCACCGATGTATCTAATCTATTCATCCAAACCTCCTGCTTCTCCAACCTATCTCTCACATCTTCAAACGCCCTCTCAAACCTCTGCACCAAATCCTCCGATGCATTGTTATTATTGCCTTGTCGGCTTGAGTTTGATTCTGCCCTTTCTGACATCCTAACACTAAAAATTTTATTTTACTGCCTCACCAAAAGTCACTTGGAAACACACAAGAGCTTTTACCCTCTATTAAGCTCACCTCTCTAACTTTTACCACTCAGTTCTTTCAACAATTGCTTCTAGGAACAATCAATGAACTCAATCAAATCATGTAGAATTCCCCAAACCGGATGTGACTCAATAATTGTAACAAAGGACTCAAAGAAAACTTTTAAAACTTGACTTGAATTGAAGGAATGGAATGATTCAATTTGTCCAAGTAATTTAGAAACGATATTGAATAATTAAAGTTGGTATTTGACCGATCAATAATATTTAACAAATTTTTTTTTACTGTATGGATGAACAGTAATTTTTTTTTCAGATCCGAAAATCAATAACAAAACCAACGAAGAAAATGAAAACTGATTTGGGCAAAAATTGAACCCAAAAACGAAATTTGAAGATTTTTTATGGAACTTTTAGATCAAAGGATCAAGAAAACTTTTTGTACACAAGAACACAAGAAATTGAAAAAAAATTAGAAAACAAAGGATATAACCTAATTAAATTAGAGCCAAAGCTCTGATACCAACTGATGCGAACTCCGTAGCAATGAAAACTACGAAACCCACAACGAGATTGATGCGGAACCCAAGAACGCCAATACTAACCTGGTTTTGGATCTTGAACCCCAAGAATTGAACCAAGAAACCCTAGATTAGCGAAAAATCTAAAACCCCTTTGATTACAATTAAAAAAACCCACAATCCGATTGTTTAGAATGCCACAAGAAATTGAATCTTGATAAGTTCCAAGATTGTTCAAAAAGAACAAGAAATTGAAAGAACAAATTCTCTCTTTATAATATTATTCAAGCAAAAAAGTCCTTGCAATGAAAAATATTCTCCTATTTATACTAATGAGTAAAAAAGTCCAAAACTCATCAAATTATGGTAATAATTTGATTTCATAAGAATTCTATCGAAACTAGGAAATTCGGAAAAAAAATAAAAAAAAACGAATTTTTTTTTCATGTTTTTGTTCTATGTGGCCACATAGTGTTAATCTATGCGGTCGCATAGAACAAGTCTCTGCCCACAATATCATCCCTGAGGCCATCTATTCGACCGCATAGGTTGTTTAACCATGCGGTCGCATGGAACAATCTTCGACTTCATTTTCTTCCGTCTTTATCATGTTGATCCAAGTCCTTTCGGCCCTTGACTCCAATATGAAACTTACTCCATTTTGCGCCCCAAACATTGTGTCGTCATTGACTTGCTTGACGAGCAATCACATTGCTTCTTTCACTTGCTTCATCTTCGATCGCGTCATCGGTCCACCTTCGACGATCAACGGATTCTTCCCGTGACTTGACGCTTGAGTTGTCTTGGTTGTTGACGCGCCTTGATTCATATCAACGCATGTAAGAATGAAGTTTGAGCATGATTTTAGAATCAAATCACTTAAATTATTGTTCACATTAAAATGAAATGAGATTGATTAAAAAGTTGACTAATGATGTCGAACTGTACTTGTTTGAAGTGCTTATTTGTTTTTCAATCAAATTTTCGGATTGATGAGAGCGATTATGTTTCTTGAATTTCTAATTTTTCAAGAATAGGCCAAGTGAGATAGCCATGATTCTAGCACTTCTTTTTACACTTCAAAAGCGACAGATTCAATCGTATAAAATTGTAAATTACAACAGGTTAATTAACATCAATGATCACTAAAATTTTAAGTAACTACATCCATAATCGTTGACGTTATTTTGTTACAGTAATACTCACTCAAGTTTCTAAATATTACACTAATGATCATTCGATTAAAAATTAAAATTAAATCCTATTTATTGAATAATGCCACTTGTACACTCTTTTTATATATCATTGTGCACATCTTCCGAGTTGGCAATGTGTGATTGATGGAAATTCTGATTTTTTTTTAAACTGTCAAATCGAAGCTTGATACGTGACGTAGCGTACACAAAGCTTTACACCATGATATACATGAAGCATACACCAAATCCGCAAAGATCGTGTTTAAAAAAAGTGTAGGTTACGATTTAAGTAAAAAATAAAACCAAAAGTTTAATTGTAGCTTGGGCTCCATTAAAAATAAATTTTGATTAGAAAATGTATTTTGAAATAGTATTTTTTTTTTTCCTCTCTTGGTGAATGTATTGTATTAAAAAATAAAGAAAAATTTTGAATTAATGTATGATATTATTTTATTGAAAAATCTGTCGTTAAAAATAAAATGAAAAAAAGAATAAATTTTCACAAAAGAGAACCCAAACAAATTTTTTTCCCCATTTAGGCTCCATTTTCGGCCCAAATGCATTTTGAAATAGTGTTTTGTTGGAGAATGTGATTAAAAAACAAAAAAACATTTCATCTGTTGTAGTTAAAAAAAAAATCGAAAAAAAATAAGTTTTTATAAAAATGTGACCCAAACATAGACATGTATTCTGCTTTCTAATCTGAATATATTTAGTCCATATATTTAACTCCCACTTAGTCCATATATATATATATATATATAACTTTAATAACCATTTAAAATAATTAGTCAAAACTTAAGTGATCATTGTAATGTACATAAAACACATTCCAATCCTAGCATTAAATGGGCGTTCGAAATATCACTAAAACTATCTACAGACTACAAGTCTAAAGAATTGTAGGTTCATAATATACCCCTTCAAATCATATCTTCAGTTCGAAGCATTAGCGGCATACTACAGGCACCAAACACTTCAGACCATATAGTGAGAGATCAAAATCAGATTTCTCCTCCAAATCAGCAAGTATGAAAGAGTACATTAAGAAATGATCAATAAGTATGCAACAAGTAATTCGAATTCAATACTACATGAAAGAAGTAAAAGAGTGATGGAATGAAAGGAGTTCAAAATTTATAAATTGCAGTGCTCAAGAAAAGTACAATTAAACACAAGAAAACTCTGCAGATTCCAGGCAGCAACCTAAGTTGGTGATCCTAAAAGTAAAATCCTAGCTTAAAAGGAGGCCGGACTATGAAGTCAGTTCATCTCATGTCTAATATAACTTAACATTTAGAACTTTCTTAAACTATTAGTCCAGAATTGTACAAACAAACGTAAAAGAAATATTTAGCAGGTCACTACAGAGAAGGGTTAAGATGTAACAGTGTTGCTTGTAACGCACGCATGGACAAAGAAAGACAGTTGCACAGTAGTTGAATTTACTCATTAGCGTTTCTTCTTGCTTCCCTTTGCACCACTGGATTTTGATGGAGTTGCAACCAGGTACACAAACAAAACCACCGTAGAAACCACAGAGATAAGGGGCCCGTATTTCACCAACAGCTTCTGCACAAGGTAAGTTTATCGTAAACAGAAATATCAAATTTTAGATTGACACAAGTACCTTCTGCTGTTCACTATAAAGCTGGAAAGATCTTGACACAGATACTTTTATGGGCTATACTACAAGAACAGTGGAACATTTATTAAGATTGAACATACCTTAGCCTGTAAGATTCCAGATGCAACCGCATAACAATTCCATGCGAAAAGAAAAACAGCAAGGACCATTAAGGAACAAAGAACAGTGTAAACTGAACAATGAAAATGTTTAAATCTATCTATGTCAAAGCTTACCCACTCAAACTTCTTCTCAGGAGGCCTATCTGATAGAATATCAAGGGGCAGGATCGGAGTTGAGTATGCTTCCTAAAATATAGACAGTCAAAAGACATTGACATTGCACAACATTTGCAAAATGACATTGATATAAGAAAACATACACAGACGACACAACCATGTTACAGAGCCAAACCTGTAAAGCAGCCTTTGTGGGGACACGGAATGTGATAACTGCTGGTGCTCCATAAAACATAGTTTTGGTTTTGGCTTCCAACTCAAACGAATGTGACAGAAGAGTCCCCCTACAATCATCCAAATTCAGCAGGGTACGGAGATTAGTCGCGGACAGACTTACAGCAAGTGTAGATCAGAAAAGGAAGATCAAAAACACGAATAGAGGAGGGAAATTCATTAAATTAGAAACTCACGACTCAAGCCTTTCCCATGACGTTGAAGTGTTACCAGAGACAATATCAAATATGTCTAGGGTCCAACCACCATCATTAAGGGTTACATCATATGCAGTCCTGAACATTCAAATCGAGTACACATTGTAACACAATCCCAGAATTACATCAGCAGAAACAAACACATAGTGTGAAAGGAAATTCATCTTTTATGTAACGTCTGATCACCAACAATAATAGTTTTGTCCTTACAAGGAATTTCAATGCATCACATCTCTTAAACGGATAATCTTGATAACAAAATAATATCTCCACAGGTTTTCAAAAGCACATACTTGGGCTGTTGATCCAGGGAACATGCAGACTTTCGTTCAGGCTATTCCATTTAAATATTAGAAAGTGATCATAAGAGGGCAACCTAGCAGTAGTTAAACATTATTCCCTGTGGTAAAGAGGTAGAATCCCAAATGTGATGATAGTCAGAAGCTTAAAAATGTTTCTTTAACTGCTGAATTATGGAATAAAACAATCGACAAACAGTAGATCACAAAGGCCCCCAATATGTGTACGTGATCTTTTGACGAATCTATACCAGGGTAGGGGCTTGAAAGCTGTGAAACCACAGAAAACTTTCTTACAAAGAGTCTTCATCGCTTATGTTATAGTATTAACATGTCAACAAAAACCAGTCACTGAACACTGCCAGCACCATACTGATATCAACTGCAATTGGGGGTGTTCGCCATGACTAGGCGTCAATTAGAGGATTATATGATAAAATAAATTAAGGTTAATTTAGTAATCATATCCAATAGATAATGTCAAATAATTATTGATCTAACTTTAAAAGCTCTCCATTTTGGATAGAAGCAAAACCAATTCCTTGCAAGTCATTTTAACTGTAAAGCATCTAAATTTCTCCTTTTATAAGTCACTAATTAATGCAAACAAGGAAAACGTACTCGCATTGCTAACTAACTTAATCCAACAGTTAAATTAAACTCATCAACTAACATAACACAAAATAAATCCAACTTCCAGATCAGAACTCATGCAGCAGATTAAAAAATCGAAATTAAGATCAATAAAAATAAAGACAGATCAGTTGCTCGTAAGGCATTTAAAGGAACTCAATTTCTCCCACTTTAAGTCACTAATTATCACAAAAGGAATAAAATTTAATTAAACAACAACAGTCCGAATTCAATAATCACAATCAAATTCCTCAACTATAAAACACAGAATCAATCCAAATTCCAACTCAAACAGTAAATAAAAATAAAAATGTATTCTATACTAGGAAAATAAAAAATAAAGGCAAATCTAGGTAAAAGAGATGGAATTTGACAATACGCGTATCCTTGATTGTAGATATCAACGGAAACAGAGACACGTTCGGAGCCAGATTTGAGCCTTGTGAGCTTGACTTTCTTATGTGCAACTATGAATGGGCCTTCTGAGCTGGCAATCGTCGATGAGGCCAAAAACAAAATCGCCAGGAAACAGGACCATCCGATCCAACCAGCCATTGCTGAATAAATACAGAGCAATTTTTTCCTTAAAATCTTGATTTCTTAGAATGAACTATGCAATTTAGGGTTGTGGAATGCCAATAATGTTCCTGTTTGTGTTTGACCTCCTCTGCGACGTCGTTTTCGTTGACGGACTGGGCTTGCCCATTGGACTTGGAATAGTCAAGTAGCGGATTGGATTGGTCTCTGTTTCCTCTGAAATTTGTCACCAACTTGAACCATCACTACCGAACTACTATGTACAAATGGGGGCGGAGTCAAGAAAATTATTCAATGCTGGCACAATTTAAAATTTTAGACAGTCAAATTTTGAGATTTTTGCTAGGCAGCCTAGGCGTCTCCTAGTCAATGTATAAAACATCTAGCTACAAGAATAGCCCATAAACAATACTTATTCATTAGTTAATCATTTTTAGTAATAATAATCCCTCAAACTTTTTTCATAACAAGCTATTCCAACAACAAAAATTCCTCAACCTCCGGCATAACTAGATTTACAAAGTCAAGACAAAAATTTGATAAGCACAGATTTTACATGATATATTTTTAGCAAAATATAAACCTTAATCATTTGATTCATTTCACAATACAAGATATGGGCCTCATTTAAAAATAAATAAGAAGCCCAAAACAAAAGGCTTACAAGTTACCATTTAGAGTTTAGAAAATATTAAGTTGGCCCAAGTAAAAAGTGAAACCTATCTAATCTTCCCTTCCCTTCTCAGCTTCCCTTCCATTTCAAGCTTTTGGAGATTGTCTGCAACAATGGAGAGTTGGGCTACATCCAACCTTGATCTGTCGAAAATCCCAGTGCGGGCACTTCCAGAAATCCCAATGCAGGTAACTACTGCAAGAAATCTTAGTAGGCACTGGCCTCTACATGGCTCCACCCCTGTGTACAAATGAAATTTGGAATTTTTTTGTTGGAGTAATTTTTTCTTTTCGAAGAATCGCATTTGATTTTGAACATATATTCCATGACTTAGATATAATAGTTGCTAGGTCAAATTAAAGCTTAGCGGATCGCGTTGAACCATGGCCACCAAAATGTATCTTCATATATGTACAAATGAAATTTGGAATATTTTTGGTTGAAGATGTAGCTTTTTTTTTTATTTTTTTTAGAGAATCGCATTTGATTTTGAGTATATATTTCATAAGTAGACATAATAGTTGTTAAGACAAATTAAAGTTTAATGGGTCACGTCGAACCATGGCCACCAAATTATTTCTTTATATATGTACAGATGAAATTTGATTTATGATGGGGATCATAAGTTTGAATGAGCAAATAATCGCATAATAGTGGAGTAATCTAAAAAATGGTCACTCGAATTCCTTATGACCACAATAAAAGTAAAAATTATAAATTAAAAAAAAGGGTAGCAAGAAAGCCACGTGGCTACCACAATTAGCTCTTGTTTTACAGCATTTTTTTTTTTTTTTTTTTGCTTTTAGAATGAGTTTTGAGTAGTAAATTTTTGAAAAATGTATGGTTAAAATGTACGAAAAATTTTGAATTTATGTAGACAATATTTTATTGTGAGAATATGCGATTAAAAATGAGAATTGGTCACTTTGGTTCGTATTACCTTGCATTTTCTCAAGATGTTTGAATATAGGAGGCTCATGCCACGAACTATTTCTAGCTACTTTGACTCTTAATCTATCGAAGATGCTAATAGACTTTTCTGATTTTCACTCTCATACTTAAATTAGATGAAAATCGTCCTCTCCATTGAATGGGTTATTTGCAAGTCGGTCAAATGCGTAATTTGTAAATACATTAGCTCTTACATCTCTTTCAATAGGTTGGTGCCTCTTTTGTGCCATTGCCCAATCACTCTGTATCTCTTCCTCTTCTTGCTTTTTTTTCCTATTGGGCTTGTTGGCCTTGAAAAAGACCTAGTTGAGGCATGTTCTAGGACATTTGTATACTTGCTTGCCCTTGTATCTGTTGGAGGAGTTGTTGCATTATGGAGTTTTACTTTGTTATGTTCCTCATATTGCCAGCCATTGCCATTGCTTCTCTGGTGAGGCATGCCATAACCGTACTGCCTCTATGATGGTGAGGTCGGCGATAGCTGATATAGTTTCCGATATACTCTTCTTTAGAGACTTTCCTTTCCCTCCTTGAATCTCTATCTTCTTCGCTTGCACTTACGGTGGGTGGACGCCCTTTTACTCAAAGAGAGGGTTTTTTTAACATATTTTTCTCTTCAAATCCTCATTTTTCATGGAAGAAATAAAACACCCAATAATAAAGAACATTAAGAACCTTCTTCCTTCGAAACCTTCACTTGTTCTTTGTACAAGAGTAAAACCTTTATTAGGAGAGGAGTTGAAGTACTTTCCAGTATGCTTTTTTTTTTTTTTTCAAAGATGCTTGTGGTTAATAATGTGATTCCCCACGAATGGAGCCAATCTGTTGACCTCATTTTTACACCGATGAGACAGTCGATGGATTCCAGCTCTACTTACATCCACGTAGATAATTTCCTACACACTTGGACATGTCGTTAGAAGCATGTGACCTTCGGTGGAGGAAGAGGTAGTTGCGAGTACTTTGACGGTCAAGTAAAATTAACTTATATGAGTGTATATGAGTGTGGGATGAATAGAGACATAAGCTACTAACATGTAAGGGCACTCGGGGTCTATATGATAACAAAATGAGAAAGCAATGTTACTTTGACGGTATAAAATTGCATTATCTTCAAATGGCACTAACTACGTGCGAACTTTTATAATAAAAAGTATGAATGGTCACTATTGGATGAAATGACATGTGGCCTCATCCTGTTAGTCGAGGTGTCTTCTCTTATGTGTTATTTAATTAATCCTAGGTTTGAGACATCTACTGTTTTTGACAAGTACTACCCTAACCTAGGTTTGACCTCTGAAAAGTGGACCGACAAGTTAACTTATAAAATGTCTGTTGTAGAGATGTCACATCAATCAATTATAGGAAGATCTTATATAGAAGACCTTTTGAAAGAGGTGAAATAGGATATTCCTTCTTTTACTAGAGGCTAATTGCCAAGGATTACTTCTACAACAGGTTGAGATCGTGCACTATTTTGGCTACCTTACTTATAACCTTTGTTAGGCCATATAGGATAATGATGTGGAGTGTGGGTCTGCTTAAGCTTGCTAGTTGGCTGTCGGTAGCGACATTATTTGGAGTTTTATGAGAAGGAAATAACAGGTGTCATGAACTGATCATTAATTCTTGACTATAGGAGAAACTAATAGACATAAATATAAAAAAAAATGAACAATAACGTATTATTTATAGTGATTCACTTGTTAAGTTTACTTGTCATTGCAGTTTTCTCTAGCGAAAAGATACGAGGATTGCAACAATGCTCTCTGTTTTATGTTACTCTAAAAGCCCTCATTATCATGTAGCTTCTGCAATTTTGTGTGTGCGTGTGTGTGTGTGTTTTTTTAAGAATAGTTAAGGTGATACATTTACATCATAATTAATTAGGTTCTCCACTTTATTAAAACAAGAAACACATTTATTTAAAAATTTTACTCTCAAGGATAACACCTCAATTGGAGTAGAAATGAAATAAGTTTCATGGACTATTAGGCAGCTGCTGGCATTCGTTTTTGTAGGTGCCTGGCCTCTTTTTATATTCTTTGGGAGGGTTAAAAGAACTTTGGAAGGTCCTTCAAGATTGTTTGCTTTGAAATCCCAAAGCAGATAGTGTGCCTTTATCCATTAGATGATGAGCATCAAGTGAAGAATGCCATCTCACTACCCCATCTCTAATTCCGCCATTTCCATAGCAATAAATATGAAATTCGATTAGTATTAGAATTAAGAGCTAGGGTTAATTATGAAATCTTTTACTTCAAAGGCTAAAGGAAAATTAAAATGTCATACCAAGAAAGACGCGGAAAGAAACTAAACTATTGTTAGTTTAATTAAAAAAGTTGATAAAAATTTAAATCAAAATCAACGATTAATTTTAATCACACATTTTAAGAGATCCATTACTTTTATCAAGTTTTAAACCATACATTTCACTAAGTTTTTATTAAAGTTTGTTAAAACTCTAATTTTTAACAAAACCAAACAAGGGTTAAGAGTCTAAATTTTAAATTTTCACAAAAGAAATCACATGACAAACAAAATATTTAACATTTTAAAAAAAATAATGGTTGTGAGGCTCACTACGTACATTTTCGTGGTAACACACGGTTCAGTGTTGCATTCGATGGAATGATCAAGGCTGAGAGGAAGAGGGAGAAGAAGAGAAAAAAAGAAGAAGATAAAGAAAGGCTTTTGAAACGTCTTTTTTTTTTTTTTGCTGAAAAGTAAAGAAAAATTGTGGCCGTGGTCCCTAACCTTTTTATTTTTATAGACTTTACTTTAACCTTTATTTTGTACCAGAGGAGGTCCCCTAACCTTTCATAAATATACTTTTGAGATCTATCTGGATAGAAACCGTCCAAAAAATCGCCAGTTGACTTGGAAAATAAAAAAATGAGGTATTTTAACCATTTTAAAGAGGGGCTACTTCATCCATATAGATTTTTTACCATTTTAGTTAAAAGGAAGAAATATATTTCTCAACCGACTATTCACATAAAAGAGATGAAGATACGAAAATGGTTATCTTTTACGATGTCTGAAAAATGAAGCCATGAATCTGACAAAAAACTTGAAGATATTGTTTGCCACATACGAGGCCCTTTTCTCAAACCTGTGTACGATGAGTATTATTGTGCTTTGAAATTGCTGAAAATATTGATGCTCCTTGTCATGCATTGGGCGTTGAATTGGATTTATTTTCCTATTATTAACTACTTGATGATCATTTTGTCTTCATCTTGTTTTACAGGGGAAAATTAGACTTATTTTATCATAAAGTTACACCATGGCGGTATATCATCCTCCAAGATAGGGAATTTTGTGTATGAGAATGGCAAGATAGCTTATCTTAACTATGTGAATCCTAATTGGTTTAATAGATTTCTTCTAGATAATGCCCCTAAGATGTTGGGATATTATGAGAAAATGAGGGGTCTCTATAAAGTTGAAAGTAAGAGAT